ACAAATTGCCCTGAGGACGGCACTGCAAGTGAAGTTGGATGCCAGGAGAGCCAAATACCAGTTGAGAGCGGATGACCTGGGCAAATCATGGCGATGCTAGGAGTCGGGAACGTCAGGTAGGTCATATTGTGCAGGAGCTCCTTCTTTTGCAGTTCGAGCCTACTTCTTAAGAACTGTCTGGGGGAGTCGGAGCAAGAAGCCTCAAACTGTAATCTCGCATCAAATGGATGTTGCTCAGCATGACTTTTCTGCATCACCGTCGTAGTCAGCCAAGTCCCCAACAGGTGCGATCGCATCCGAAATCTTCACCTAGCAGTTGAGCAGCAATGGGAAAAAACAAAGGCCACCCGGTCGCAATACAAGGCTCCAACTAGTCCTTCAACCTGGTGCCCCAGCATCCCCCTGCACCCGGCTTTTATGATATGAATGCTCGGCTGTTTTCTGTGTGTCTCCTCTCCTCTCTCCTCTTTGTGCTCTCCGTGCTCCGCTCCTCGAAGCTGTCAAGCTCAAAGTTCACCAGCAATCGAAACCTCCAGTGCGATCGGATCGGATCTGCGATCGGATCTGCAATCCTCCAACCATCCACAAGCATCCACAAGCATCCACAACCAACCATATGTTTCCATATTTTGCCTCGGTGAGTTCGGGAGAGTTGGGGTTGGGATTGTTGCAGAACGGGAACCTGGCCTCAGGGCATACCCCCTCAGCCTTTAAGGTAGTCATCTCAACCCAATCATCAAAGCTCAGAAAAAGGACTCTCAGCAGTGACCATTCTTCCAAACGTCCAAACAATTTTGTCGTGCAAAGGTTTTTCTATATATAGCCAATTTTAAATGTTTTGATTCTGTAGGAAGTTGTTTTTTGTAGATTGCTGTACACGGTTGTAGGAGGATGTTGTGGACTGTCAACGTGTTTCAAGTTTGCTGATGTTGGCCCTTTTTGTTTCAAAATACTGAAGCTGAAAACATAAATTCCATGTCTGAACTTCCGTGTCTCAACCTTCAACAGGAGTCAAAACTATTCCAGATTCCAAACTGTGATATCATGATTATTGTGCTTCCGCTGCATCCGTGCAAGTTGATTACAGTACTATTCCTTACTGGAAGGAAGATTAAGAAGAACAATGAGTACTTAGTGCATCTGGTGAATCTGTACGATCTGCTGCCGACATCTACCAGGTGTTGGTTGGCCACTGTTGGCATGGTTCAATTTCTTCCATGTGTGGTGCGACCCTGTGACGGTGTGCAAGCGCCTGGTCGCAGCATGTCACAGTGCACCCCTATCAGATAGGCCCAGTGCACCCTTTTTTTCAGAATCGGGTTCCAAGTTGGAATCTACAAATGTTGTCTGTTTTCGTTATCCCCAATGAGGTGCATTCAATTCATCGTTTGGGTTGGGACGGGCAAAGGCTGATCGACCATCCCAATGCTGAAGAGTGTGTGGCGTAAAGGACTCTGCTATATTATGATATGTTATGTTAGGAATGAATCTCTTTCCGCTTAAAGTTCCACTTTACTAGAAGCATCAAAAGGCACTGTGAGATTTCAAACGTTTATGTAATCGATTCTTATCAATATTGCTCCAACCGGCGCTCCACTGCTTCTCACGGTCCAAACCCACGTGCCGAAATGCTGCGCCATGTGCAGCGCACACGATTACTATGTCCCAGGCACTGAAGCAACTCCAAGAATGGAACTCCCACATCAATGTGGAACGACTGGTGTGTTCATTTCTATTTGCAAGTTGGCCATGTTGGAGATGATTTTAAGCTCAGAAGTCTTTTTGCCTTGTGGGGTAGTTATCAACCACCCCGAACACGAGTCATTCCTCGCCCAGCCTTGCCGCAGCCGCCACGTCCAAGACATGCCTGGCGAAGAAGCCAGTGGCGACAGGATGCGACGTTTCAGAAACATCAAAAAGGCGACTGTTTTGGGGGCCTTCATAGTTCAAGCCACCTGCTATTTGCAATGTTTAAGCCTTTAAGCATGTTTAAGCACATTATAGACTATATATGCACTCTGAAGGCTTGGAGGCGCCGAGAATGGAAAACAACCCATGGAAAGGAAACTGTCGGCCCGCGGAAAGCCCATCTTGGCCTTGCATCTCAAACGGCGACTAGATCTTGGCCAAGGGATGAGATGGAGAACAAAGAATACATTCTGAAATCCCTTTAAATGTCCGGGCTGCGGTTTTGGTGAACGATTCTGATCAAAACACAGCAAAGATCTACAGGCTGCAGGCGAACTCTCGGAGAACGGCACGGGTCCCCTCCTGGAGGACGCGTGGAGAACGGTACGACTTGCGTCGCCGGCGCCTTGGTCAGCTGCAAAGTGAGTGATTTATTCGATTACCAAATGCAAACAATGTTATATTACATATATATATATATATCGGTTGCACTCCCTGGAATCATCATGGATGAAAATGGACCTTGGTTTCCTGGTTCACCACCCACGCCAGTGAGTCACGAAGAGACGTGTATGGTTTGTGCAAGACACGCAGGTCTAAAAACAGAAAAAGGAACCCCACAAAATGAACCCCGGTGAGTCAGAGATTGCAGGCAGTACGGGTTGAACCTCTTCATATCATAGTGTCTTAGAGGCAAGAGTTTGCAAAAATGTTCATGTGACCAGCGTTGACCAAAAAGGGGATTGTATAGATACATCATGATGATGATGATGATGATGATGATGATGATGCATGTAGAGTAGAGAAATGGGGCCCGCTTCCCGCTCTATCACATATGGTCCGATGGTCAAAATCTGACCTTAGCGCCCTTTTTTGAGGTTATGGATTTAAGGTGGCCAGTTGGATATATAAAGGAGGGGATCCATGAAATCCATGGAACGCCTTGCACAAACAAACACAACACGACGCAACCTCACCCACCACCCCCAACTGATTGAAGGCTGAGAGAAGCCTCTCAGCATGTCAGCCGCATCTTCCGCTTGTCCTTGCTTTATTTTGGCATTCTGGGCGAGCCACCCTTGTGACTTGAACTCCGTTCTACTTGAGCTCCACTGTGTTCCAGTTGGCCTTCACGGATTCTAGTATGTGTGCTTTAAGGCTGTAGGTCCTAGATGGTCCTACGTTCCCATCACTCCTCAAAAATACCTTTACTTCGAGTGATTCCCAGTGACAATCATGTGTTTTCATGCGGTGGGGAGCATGCTGCCATGGGGGTTTTGTGGTTCTCGATGTTGCTTGTAGGTCCTCGGGCTTGAGGTTGTTATTTTCGTGTTGCGGTGTTTGTGTTGGGGTGTCGCCACGGTCTACAGCTGGCATTCTATCCAAAGTGTGGCCCTGTGACTACCTGCCACGCAAAATATGCCACACACACATGTAATTATATTGCTGTGTTTTGTAATTATTGTTTTTGTGTTTGTGTTTGTGTTGTGTGTTGTGTGCGGTGTGTTGTGCTGGTGCTGGTGCTGGTGCTGGCGGCGGCGGTGGTGGTGCTGTGGTGTTGTAGTTGTGGTTGGGGTTGTGTTGTGTGTTGTGTCGTGTGTGGTGTGTCATGTGTGGGTTGTGGGTTGTGGGTTGTGGGTTGGGTGTTGCGTGTTGCGTGCTGCGGTTGTTGTTGTTGTTGTTGCTGCTGCTTCTGCTGTTGTTGTTGGTGGTGGTGGTGGCGGTGGTGCCCACTGCGATCTGGCGCTTGCTGTTGGGGCCCGGGAGTGCCCACTGTGATCTGGAGCTTGCTGTTGATGTCACCCCCCACTTTGCTGTTGTGAGGCGAGGAGAAAAAGGAGAAGGAACCCTCAACTGACAGGTGAGAAAAAAACAGTTCACCCCGGTCTGTGGTGTTGAAAATGCCTACCTAGAAGCTTCGGATGATTCTCTTGATCTTCTCCTCTGCTCGTTGAAACTGGAACACACAAGTCCAAAACTGCGCAAAACGGCGGCGTGCTTCGCAGCGCCGGGCTTCACAAGTGGGGATGAAAGCAAGTCCTCTTTGGAATCTCATCTCTTGGCCGCTAACGCCCACTTCCCGTACCACACCTGGAGGCCATGAAGCTAGGTATAGCTCTTTGCAGGGATCGTTGCTTGGGTTCAGTTGGAGCTTGGCCGATCCAAGGAGGGTCGCTTAGCTCCCCGCATCCACCAAGGAAGGTGGAGCAGAAGAGCCACGTTGGGGAGCCACAGCATTGTGAGTTGGACGAACGAAATGTACTGACAAGTCGACCCAAAAAGTAGAGACCCACCACAGTAGCAAGTTGGGGCAGCCAACATTCGCGGTGGCTCATGTGTTGAGATCTGCATCGAGCTGGGTGAGACAGGGTCTTCATCGCTTCTTGAAATGCCATCCAGGCCAGCGCATGCTCGGGCGCGGGTCGAGCTTCAAGGACCCATACTCGCACATGACACACCACATGCGCCACATGCAAGTGATATTCAGAGTCAATCTTGGTGCTGAGAGGGGTACACAATGCCAAGTTTGAACATGCTAGCACAAAACAAATCACTTCAAATAGCATAGCACTGTCAGGTCGCCGAATCTAGTCCACCCTGCTAGTTCCGGGTGGCCAGAATCATCTAAGGTCCAAATTCAATAGGCTCCAAGAATGGGCAGAGTTGAGCGGAAGGGACCTTCAATCATTAAAGGTCCGGTCTCCGACTACCACACACCGGTTACGTCGTTCACCGAGGGTGAGCATGTTTCCCTATGAAACAAAAAGAAATGCGCCGTTCACACAAGTGCGAGCAAAGGCATGACAAGGTATGGGAATAATGGGGGACAAACACCGTATGATTTACACAATGCACATGACTCCAACAGTTGCCAGCAATCGTTGACAATCCGGATCCATCCAATTCAGCCCAAATAAGTCAGGGAATTTTTGACATAATTTGACCGGTCGGTCCAATCCAACATTCCAATCCAGCATTTCTATATCATTCCATGACAGCCTTTTCTTTCATTTTCTGCATCCCCTTTGGAGCCTTTGTGTTCGCCCCAGGGCCCGGCCAGGGGCGCCTAGGCCGCTCAGCGGTCAGCGGCTTCAAACGGTGGCACGAGGAAAGGAGGAAGGAGCCTGCAGCAGGTGGCACAGGCAGCCCCGGAGGTCGGTTTTATCAGAATGTCGTGTTCTTTGGCTCTCGGCAGCTCCGTTCTCATGCCGAGACTGTTTGTCCAAGCGGCTTGCAGCTGCTGAGGCGCGAAATTCTTCTTCCCAGTGGCTTGATTCCTCACAAGCATCGTCCTAAGCATCTGAGCGGAGGAACAGCGACCGCTGAAACTCAGAACAGTCCGATGATTTCGGGGCCAGTTGCACCTGGCCATCTGACTCTACGTCCGGACCCTCTGGACTGGTGGAATCCTCCAAACATCTCTATAACGTGGTACTAGATCACAGTGCTGCCAGGGAAGCGTTTTGCTCTGCAAGTCCACCAGAATAACTTCAATCTTGTCACTGTTGTCATCAAAACATTCAACAGCTGATGCAACTCGCAAGGCCAAGTGAATCCAAATTAATCTCAAAAACCTAACGTATGCCGACGTCACCAGCACGGTCGGCCACACCGCACGTTAGTTCGGCACAATCACCTCTCCGCACTTCCTTGAAGCGCTGATGGACCGGCGCAAATTGACCCCACAAAATCCTGCTGAGTGGCACGATGATGGGTTCTAAAACGTCGGTCATCTCATCAGGCTGCAAGCTCTGGAGCCACATCACGAAATCGTTGGCATAGTTCTTCAGCAGCTTGTGAGACGCAGGGTACCTCGAGTGCCATGAAGGCGTCGGCTAGTCGAGATGGAATCTGTCCCCAGGACTGAAGGTCCAGGTGGATCAAAAGCTGAAATGCTTATAACAAGACTTCAAGGTGCTTCAAGCCTCACTGTAAAATCTCAAGTAGTAGGACTAGGACGTATACTTAACTTGAAGTAAAAGGACGTATACTTAACTTGCACCAACATATGCATATATAACACTATATAAATATAGAATTAACCAATAGTACATACTACTCTTATATGATCTTATATAACCTTATGTAATGCCGTGCGTGTTCCACCATTCTCGCAAGGTGTTGCAGTTTCACACTTGCACTTCCGAAACAACACCATTGATCACTGTTCTAAATCCTGAGACTGCGAACTAAAGCTGTGGTGGTTGAGGCAACGTTTCCATACCATCCTGTGACATACAGCTTCTTTAATGATGTTGTTGAGGGGCGTCTCAGCTATGTACCAGACTGTCTATCAGCTATGTACCCTGAAGATGGTAGCGCTGATTCTGATTTTTTGCCCAGTCCGACTGCGCCAAGTGGCAAATCAACTTGCGACCTGAAGCGTTAGGTGTGGTGGCACGGCTGCGCCAGCTGGAAACATGAACATGTACATTTAGCATACATAATGAACTAGAATGAGGTCGGTCAACTAGAATTGAAACCCAAAGGTTCTGCCAGTGATGGCTACTCCAGCTCTGCAAAGTGAACAGATTCTCAATGAATTGCACATCTGCAGCAAATGACAGTTCGACTTCAACTGATCACATGTTTCTTGTCTGAGGCTATTTGGGTCTAAATCTCTAGTACAATGACGCACAGCTTCTGGGCAGCAACCAAAACAAAGGACTGTGAGGAAAGTGACTGGACCATGTTTTAGTGCCGGCAAGTCTAATTACCTGCAATTGCTGTGCAATGCCACCGGCACAAAGGCTTCTGGATGCTTTTCCATAAAAAGGACCCCTTCTTTCTATATTATGCATACAGCGTGGGATGAACTGAACAGGTCGGTGTGCCAAGAGAGGTCATGAAACGATCCCAAGACCTGGACCGGGCCAAACGAACCGGTTGTTAGGATACGGCCGTGGGCGTGGATGGGGCGGTACCTGGCGACGTACCTGGCGAATCGAGTGAACGAGATCTGTTCAGATCAGCTGCAAAATGCACTTGGGGTGGATGAGAAGCAAGTGGGACTCGATCGTCGCAGACAATTCGCCCACATATTCCTGGGTGGAAGCTGGGTGGAAGTGTGTTTTGTTTGTCTTGCTGTCACAAAATCCAACAACCAGCACCACTAGCTAGCTATACATACAAACTGACATAAAAGCTTGAACATTGTCAAAGCAAAAGGGTCATTTGATGTCATGTGAACCTAAAAGAGCAACAACACACTATACTTTGATTTCAGCTTTGGACTAATGCGGAAATCATTGTGTTTTGCTGCTATGTTTTGTGTGTTTCGAGTTAGGGTACTTCAGGAGCATTGCCATCAAACATGTCGCAAAAACCGTTGGTTTTAGGTATGTTGTAAGTGCGCGAAATCAACCAACCAAAGATAGATACCACAGTCTCAGTATCAATCAATGGAAACATGTCTTTTTTTGGGTGGGTGGGTGGGTGGGTGGGTGGGTAGGTTGCGCAACTCACAACAAGCCTTTTCTGCAAAAACAAGCGCACACTTCGCAAAACACGCAATGTTGCGCACCCGTTCATTCACCAACATGCGCCCATATAACGCGTCTCGCGATGTGGCTGTGCGAGCCTCCTTCTCTTAAGGTGGGGTGTTCATCAGCGTATCAGTGTATCCCATCGTATCAGTGTAGGGCTATGCAAAGCATGAATCAATAGCATGCGCAGCGCGGGTAGTGGGTCAAGAACGCAGCTTCGAACCTTTGGGCAAGCCTGGGCTAAGCAATTGTTAGAATAGATATGAATAGATGCATTTCCATAGATGCATGTCCATATCCTTCGAAACCGCCCAATCTTCGCTTGAGGACCTTCTTCGTCTGTGACCTCGCCACTGGGCCTCCAGAAAACACTCCGCCACTCGCCGCAGTCGGGGGGGCCCAGTCTTGGATCCACATCACGGCTTCGGAGATCCAGCGGCTTCCACCTGCGAAGCGGTGAGCAATTGAGCGGATGAAGCTCTTGGTGCGGGGCCACCGGCAAAATAAGTGTCATGGGAATCACTACTGGTTCATCACCCAGGTTGAACATAGGACCTAGGAGTCATTTGGGATGATCATCCCAGGTTGAGGTTGATAGAAGCATGTCGGAAACACAATTGAAAACTGAAGGCGCCCAGCAGTGCTGATTGAGGGGCTTTGCTTGCTGGAAACTAGGTGGGATTGCAGCGCAGGTTCAATTGCCTTGCCTGAGCTGGAGTGGATGGTTCGCTAGACCCCCTACGAGTTGCGTAGGTTCTGATTGAGTGGGTGGATTCAAACAAAGTATAAAGTATGCTCTCTGAAATAAAACTTGAGAAAGTGGGATGGTTAATGGGATGGCCGGAGAAACAACAAGTGCATTTGTTAAAGTTTACATGCATGTATTTTTGAGGGTCGAAGCCATTGAACAATCAACACCATTTCTATGCACTATTGGATTGAAACACGAAAGATCACGAAAGCCTTCTATCAAAGACGGTGTCGAAAGCCCACCAGTGCGAGGCTGCGAGGCTGGTTGGCCCACTGACACCGAGCTTCGGCCCCTGGGAGAAGCAATGAGCTTCGAAGCCTCCCTGAGAAGTCTGATCGTAGCTACATCACCCGTCCCGCTCAGAAGTCGGGTGAAAGAGGGGCATCCAGGATAGCCCCTGTGTGAACATCTGGTTGGTATTGGGGCAAAACCAACACGGGTTCATCACAAGTGCGGACCACCAACTCATGATCTTCAACTGTTAAAAGTCTCCAAAGGGCAGCTGGAACTGGTCTTGCCCCGGCCTGGCTCAATGACGAGTTCCTCAAGGCATGCTTGGCGAGATCCAGGCATGCGGACATGCAAACAAATTGGACGAAACCGTGGCCGTCCATTCCCCCAGTGTCTGTTGAGAACCTTTTTTGCTCGGTGAAATTGCACCTGTTCAGACTCTATCCGCAAAGAACCGAACTATGAGTCCTGTTGGCGATCATGGTATGCCTAGCACTTGCTGGATTCCTCATCTGGGACACAGTGTGGTGTCCAAATAGCTTTGTATTATATATAAATAGAGCTTTTCTAGGTTACGTTTCCTTATCTTTCTTGCTCTCTCCATCGCACTCTCTCCTCTATTGCGCCTTGTTCAACTAATTGATTATGACTCAACCCCACCAGTCCTTGAAACCCCATGACCAACAAACATCGCACCCGTTACAAACAATTCACGAGCATGTCGATCTAATGAGCCAACCCAGAAGCCCCAAATATCCCAAATGCAAGACGAGCAAAGACTAAAAAGTCATCTCTCAAGAAAAATGTGACATTCGCATGTCTCATTGCATCTAGGCCTCCTCCGTCACTTCTTCATTATCCATGCTGCTCTGTATGGTGCGAACATATCGCAACCTTGGTGGCGATGCCGAGTCCACGAGTCATTCGTCGACGTGCAAGTAGCGCTCCGAATCACTCGCCTTTCAAAATGGATTGTACCATCTTGTCTTTTGGGATGAAGGGCCGCTTGGCTTGCAAAACATCGTGTAAATACGCGGGATTAACTTCCTTTTACCAAAAAACAAGGGAAAAAGATGGAAAAAGCATATTTGCCTTTTGGCCTTCAGAGGACTTGCGGGGAGATCCACTATTTGGGGATCTTTCAAGAACCTGGTCTCCCTTGTGACTGGCTTCAAACAGAACCTTCTGGCAATTCATGCTCTTCATGGGAAAACCCAGTTCAAACATGTTCAAACGGCCCGAACATAGTGCAAGAGAAGGGCTCTCCAGCCAGCAAGTAGCGCATGGAGGTTGCATGTGTGTATGGCAAGAACTCCTCAGCTTTGACGAGAATCTCAGCATCGGTTTGTCCGAAGAGCCAACTCGAGCAGAACCAATCCACAAGGTACCGTCCCAGAGTTCTTGCGCAGATTTTCCTGTAGACACATCCAATGACAGGTTTTGTGAGCCAACAGATCTATAGAATGGTTCTGGTGATGCCTTTGTCATTCAACTGCCACAGCTGGGAGCAACCCAGTGCAATGAAACATGCTGTACATTCAACCGTCTCATGTTTCCGGTGAATGGTCTGAAGGTGTTCGACTATGCGACTATGTTCGAGGTTGGGGTGTCTACCGTTGATTCTCTATCCTTGTGAGCAAAACACTACCCTTTGGCCCTGTATGGCTTTCAGCCTGGACAAAACAACCAAGCGGTCGACAGTACATACCAGCTTCTTCGCTGCTTTTTTTTAGCGCCATGTGCCTGCGGTCTGCAACAGTGAGCGCCTAACCAACAAATCGAAAGGTACCTCTACACAACAGGTTAGGTAATAGAAGTGCGTAACACACGTGAACAAGTCAGTTGGTCTCAAAAAAAAAGCAGCCCCGCCAATTGCCCAGCCATTCCTGAATATTCAGCTGCAATCTAACCAGAACATCTTCACCTGCTTCCGGCAGCCAGGAGTCCCAATCATCCATTGCCAGGGTCTTCTTCTCGAAGGACTGCGGGATTGAACGAGCTGCAATCAACATGACTGAGGATTGAACAGCAAGGGGGTTGTTCAAACACATGTTGAACAAAGGATTGAACAAACACATGTCCTCAGTTTGAGTGTGGCTTTCATTACTCTATAACTGCAGGTTGCCATGCAATCAAGTGAATCAAAAATGGGTTGAAAACTATCTGTGGCCATTGTAAGCCACTCCGTGCAACCTCATGTCATACACCTCGGATTCACCTTGGCAGTAGAAAGGGTCAATCAAATACTGTAGTAAACATATCCTCCCAGATCCTCCCAGCAAACAAACCCCATGAAAGTTGAAAACAGCCCATTGAAGGGAAAAACTCTACCAACAGAATCTTGTCCACTTCCATGTTTGTTGCAGGAAGACTTCTACAAGCCAAAACCCCCGCGATTGGTGGAGTCCACGACTGCTGTTTGGAGGCATACCGGCCTACCGTGGCACCAAAAAAGGTTGCGCTTTGCTTGATACCATGCTGTTGGTTTCATGCTGCTCTGGATGTTTCTATTTCGATCTATTTTGGGTTTCGCTGACTGAGAACTAAGTATATTGAGATTTTCCTGATCTTCCTGTGGCCAGCATACTGGTGCAGGGGAAGTTAGTATCCCGATATCCTGCTTTCAGGGCCTGGCTGGCTTTCTCCAGCAGCAAAAGCCCTCCAGTGCTTTTCATCAGCCCTTCAAAGAGGGCGTGGGTGTTTAGCCTGGGCCAAGTGAAACAAAATGAGGCCAGTGACAGGCTTGGTAACACAGTGGCGGCTGCGGCTCTGATACGAGTACAACTGCCTTCGCAAGAAAACAGCCAAACGCATTGCACGGCAGCTTCACTCGCAGTGGACCTATCTTATGAAGTTCGGCCAACGGAGTGAACCATTCGTGAACGTCAAAATCAACAACCCCCTCTTCTGGGGGAGATTTCTTGATTGGGGGTGCCATTGCAGCGTTCTCTGGGCATCTCTTCTTCGACTTCCACCCCTGGACCCAGCGATTTCTATTGAACAATGCCGCCGCGGTGCGTTGGCTGGACCAAGGCAAAGCCTGGGCCCGAATCCAACATCTTGGAAGGGTGGGTGGGATACAACAGCAACCCCTTTGAACCCAAAACTTCACGGTACCAAAGGCAAGGATACAACACGGATGATCTACGCATGGAATCTGAAAAACTGTGGCTTGGAAAGGGAAGAGCTTCTTTGGGTATATCCTATTACCAGTAGCGGTGGATGATGATGATGATGATGATGATGATGATGATGGATGCATAATGCATGATGAATGATGAATGTAAATATGAATATGAATATGATGATGATGACGACGACGACGATGACGACGACGACGATGACTATGATAATGATGAGTAAAGGCAATTTCTGTAAAGGCGTTTGTTTGCCTACTGTTACGGGTACTGTAATGGGACACACCACACTCAAGATATTATCATTGTTTGTTTACTGTAATATGTTTATATATCAAACATAGTGGCCCCCAAATAGATAGGAACAGTTTCCAATACATTTTAGCTGGGATCTACGTTTCTATCTATTTAAAGTATTTTTGGGGGTCTATATCATCATCTCAAAAAATCACCGTGAGCTTGTGTCACGTGATTACGGACACAAAAAGCGAAGAATGACCGGCACATGTGCTCTTCCATGCATGCTCAAAGCATGCCTCTGCAGGTTCCATGCTCTACCGGGAGCAATTTCTTGTCTTCACTAGCACCTGCCCAGGTGTCGCTGCTCTTGAACATCTGCTCGTGTTCAGGCCGGGCTGCTTAATTCCACCTGCAGCTGCTCGGACAAGACCTCAACTCCGCTGCGCATGTCTCGTTCGTGTGTGAGAAGCGTTGGCGTCACGCAAGTCTCCTTCGACACGACCGAGAAACGAACATTTCATACGACAGTGGTCGTCAAACCCATGAAAAAGCAAAGGTTTTCACATACAAAATAGGTAACATCAGGTTTTTTGGTAGTGTCTGGGGCCCCTGGTTTGTATTTCATGGGGTTTCATGACTCTCTCTGGACTTTTTTGATGGACGAAATGCAAAAGAAGATCCGATGCTCAAGTGGCCGGGGGCTTGAGCTGAACACAAGGGACGGGTGTTCCACGACCCATGCCGAGCGTGGGTCATGGAGATGATGCCATGTTAGGGCTCAACGCTTGGCCTCTACAGATTCAATGTCGCACGACCAGAAGAAACCAACCTAAAAATCAGCTAATGTTCAATCTTAATTAGTAACCCCCCCCGGATTTATGTCTACACGTTTTTTGTTGGATTATTAAACCCCCCCCCGGGTTTATGTCTACAAAAAAATCCGAAAAACAAGTAAAACAACAATCAAAACCATCCGAAAAAAAATGCAAAAAAATACAAAAATAAGTTCTAGATCAATCTCACCCCCTGCAATAATGTCTTTGTTGAGGTGTTTTATATTATAATTAAGACACCTCCTTGTCTACGAATTTTATGGTTTTAATAATATCTACCCCTGGAATAGTGTCTACCTGATTGCTCGGTTATGCGCTTAAAAAAAACATCTTCTACAATAATGTCTATGCAATTCATCGTTTAGTAATTTTAAAAATATTGAACCAATCATATTTCTTTTATGTATTAATTTGTGAATGTCTTCTAATTCAATTACTTTTGATTCCTAATTCATTGTTGATTAGCTCTAATTATAACTAATTCATTAATGAATTAAGTTCTACTCCAACTCACTGGCATGGGAGTCGAAACCACCCTCTTCGTAGAGGAAAATCATCATCCAAGATCATCGAAGGGATTTTCAAGGGCACATGTCCACTTTCAAGCGAGTCGGAGGGGCCGCGAGGCTCACCCTGGCACGACACGGTGTCGGTCCGTGTCGTCAAAGCACATCACTCACGCCCTGCCCTCCCCACCCACACTCACAGCCACCCGAAGTGAGACTCGGTTCGCGCCCGAAGTGACTCCATCTGAGGAACTGCGAGGCACCCCACGCTCTGGTGGTTCACCGGCCTTTGGTGCTTGCGACAGTGCGCGGCATCCGCTGAGGTCGCATGGCGAATGTCCACATCTCACTGAGGTCGCAGGTTGCTCCATTACAGTCTTCGGCGGTTGAAAATGAGAGAACCCAAAGCAATATGACGGTTATACAATGCTATGTATACCATGATATACCACGTGCAACACGTCAACTCGTAAGTCCTTCCTGCGTTTCTTTACGTGGCTGTTGAGCTGTTCCAGCAAAACAGTACCCTTTGCTTGGCTTCACTGCCTTTGGCCCGACCAAACAAGTGGCATGAGCATTGCCACTCAGCTTTGTTCTCCCCAGCTTTTTAAACTTTTTACAAACATCCATGAACATCCAACACCCCTTCCAAGCAGCCATCCTTCACAACATCCTGCACCACCTACGGTGCTCCAACGCATGGTGCTCCAAGTGGCTGCTGGCGGCGCTTCAGCTCGAATTCCACGAAGCGTCGGATGCGCAGCGACCTGACCGAGATCTTGGCCGAGAGAGCCAAGAGGGCGCCGGTCACGGGGATGGCCCCGGCAGGCGAAATGCCTCTCGCCGAGAAAAGATGTAACATGATGTAACTGTTGGGCATGCTTCCCCCAGTGTGCGCAACTTGCTGTGGGCCTTGCAATGCTTTAGATGTGGAAGGGCCTCATGCGAATCCAGGACTTGGTGCAACAACGACTTCCAAGAACATAGATGGCTCTGACTCTGACTCCTTTTCGGAGGGATGGTATGCCATGAAGAAAGCAATGTTGTATGTTTCACAAACTCTACCTCCGATTCGGCCTAGTTGCAAAATCGACAACTCAACACAGCCCAGCTGCCTAGTTGCCCAATAACAGCTCCTTCACCCATCCCAAACAAAAGTCCAGCAAAGGACTAGTTGGGGCGTCTGGGCTCCCAGAGTCCGACATGAAAATGGATCGCAAAACAAATAGAATGGATCCCATCAGCAGGCCCCACCTGGCTCGATGTATACCACTGAAGTTTGGTGAGCTAGTGCTCTACAACTCAGGTCTTTGGTCACCAAGAAGGTGGAACTTGTTACCCCTAGACCTGGATCTTAGGATTTTCCACACCCTGGAAAATGGCAAGGTCCTTGGCCCGCTTTTTGGCCTCAGGAAACCATCTAGAAACCAGTGATGTGCAAATTCCGGGCCCAAAACGCAACTCACTAAAACCAATCCATTGGTCCGTGTCTATATGTACACCATTTTTTAGATGGCTAACTGCCAACTATATATGTGTAACTCAGCCGCACGCAGCCACACCCGCTCTCAGGTCATCGGGTCAGGTTCCCCGACAGACCGATGGGCACCGCGTTCCGCCGCAGGAAGCGCCGGAGCTTCAAGGTCTCTCGGGTGATGGTCTCTGACCTGAGATTTCGCGGGGCTAAACCGGTGTGAAAAGCTGGGGCCAGTTGGGGGCGAAACTTTGGGCTCCAGATTTGAAGCGAAAGTGGTGAAGATGGAGAAATTCAGCTGACATCGGAGACTGTCGGAAGTTACCCATGCACAAGGATCATCACCGATGATCCTCGGTGGTGCTGCATCTTGTCCGCCTGCAGGCAAGACACAACTTATCCATGCCCTGACCACCTGAACCGATCTGTTAATTAAATGAAAAACTCTGTGAATTCCTGGTACTTGGGGATCTCTCGCCAACATCTGGCGACTTGTTGTTGCTACTGCATCCAGGCCTAGTCGATTCTTGCTGGTCAAACATCCAAGGAGCATCATCCGAAGCTGTGTCAAGGAGCCAGTGATGCTGCCCACCTTATGGTGAGATCCCAGTAACAGTGGGTGCTAAATCTGTTCACATCCTAATTGACTCATGAAATCATGGATGCAAATTACAGATCAACAACCAGCCATGCAGTCAGCGACTTGAGGAAACGGATAGCCAGCTTTCAAATCGTTGAGCCGGGTTTCCGTCATCTACTTGGGGCACCTACTCACACACGCAGATATATAAACATATTTATAGATGTATATATATATATATCAACTGACACACCAACATTATACATGCATATATGCGTGCATTATTTTCCTAATTGCTTGCATAAACAAATACATAGATACAACACATACCATAATATTATACAATAACACATATATACACAACATAACACTACATACGCACATACATTACATATTTACATACACTGCAATGACTTCTGAACGTTACATCATTACATTGTACTGCGTTAAATTACATATTTAGACATTACATTCATTACAATTGCATTGCATTACTTCATACATATTGACATAACATGACATACCACAACACAACACAACACAACACAGCCTACCCACCTACCTACCCTACCCTACACGACCGTACCCTACCACACCCTACCGGCACCGCCCAATGGGTGGCTTATAGACCCTCCTGACCACGCGTGTCCCATCCTGTAACAGTCCTTTGGTTGCTGCTGGTAGGTGACCTCTGATGCATCAACAATCAGTGCATATCTTTTATATCCCAATGACCGTGGAAGGGGGCGCCTCACATTGGGTCCCGAGAGTTCAGCAGCTCAAAGAGCAAGGGGGTCTCTTTCGAGCCTTCTCCAGCAGCAATGAGGCAACTGGATATGAAGAAACCTCTCAAAACTGGCCTGTCTGGCTTCTTTCTGAGTAAAAATGCAGCCAATGTCAATGTATGTCAGACAGTGGAAACTGAAGTGCGGCCAAGTATCAATGTAAGAGAACACCTGAGAGGATGACTGGCTCAGTGGAGATGATTGGATCGCCCTCTGCTGGGCTCTCAGGAGACGAGCTCTTCCATGGTTCCCGTGTGGAAGTCAAGAGTCAAGAACTGCCTCTGCGTGTACACATTAGATGCATACTTGAGCTATCCACTGTTGAAAAGGCATGTTACCAGCTGACCCCTCCTTTTTCCACAATGACAAGACCATGCCCAAATATGCCCAGCCCAGCCCCCCAACAGAATCGGAGGTAGTGATATCAAAGTCAAGGACGTAAACTCCAATACTGACGGGACAATAACAAATAACAACTCAAATAATATCAAATAGCTCCTCCACTCTGACCTAAGAAGGGATGATGAGACCTTCCAGGAACACCGTTCACACTCTGACTGACTGACGCCCAAACTGTTCCACCGGCTTTCGAGGCGCGATCAAGGCGAACAGCACCGTGAGGGCCGCGAAGCCGCGCTCCAGGGGATTCGTAGGCCTTGGATCTGCTGAGTGGGTTTGCAGTACAAAGCTCCAGGGAGCAGTTTCGGGCCAAGAAATTCCGCAAACTGGGAGGTTTTGTTCATGGATTTCCAGGGTTCCAAGGCTGAAGACCTTTCATCAACACCACTGCTAGAAACTGGTCTACCTCTTCAAAGGAAGGCTTCTTCGCTTGGCCTAGCGGTTGTCCGGCTTCTTCGGCTTCCGGTCTAAACAAACAAAACCCACATAGACCTGAGATGGAACAGGCCGGTGCCGCGGAAACTCCATGCCCCCAAGAATTCCTAAAATGAGACTCTTGGAAAAGCTGACTGGGCTTGCAGCAGGTGAAATCAGAATTATATACAGCCAAACACTGTTTGATAAAACCTCGACATCTATGGCAAATGGCTGCACTTCCATGGATGCAGGTGTGAACTGGCACAAGCTCCAGTGCAAGCAGGTGAGATAGCTGTAGACCCACCTCAGTCAGGACTGTCTAGGTGGTTCGAACTAGCTGGGTGGTCATGCGTATCAGCCACCTTGGGCCTCCAATGTCGGAGAGTCAAACACGATGTATATTAATATAAACATAGATAAGTCATTTCACGTGGTGGAAGGAGCTTGGAGTTTAAAATGTTTGAAATCCACCATGACCATTGATTTAGCCTGGTAGGGAATCAGGGGGACGACTGCTTAAGTTGACTCCTCACCACTGTGGCCACTGGGCCAGCTACTCAGTCGGGTGCTTTGTTTGGACCAGGCTGCAAGGTGCTGAGCTGCTGAGGCGCCTCGAAGTCTGGTTGATCCCTTACGAACCCGTTGTTGTGGATCTTGAATTGCATGTTGGGCGGCTACGAGGGTCGAGCATGCATTTGAAAACCTTCTGCATCATAGGACTGGCAACATCAAAAACTGCGGGTCTCAAGGGTCGAAAGGGCGCCAAAGGGCCGAAAGACTCTGAAGAGTTCCACTCCTTTCTTCGCCCCGCCAAGGGCCAAGTGGCCCCTGTTGGTCCCGAGGTCGAGCAGGGTCGTAGATCAGGAAATTGCCCGTCCACCATGTGGTCCACCCGAGCTCCACACCCACGAAACGCAAGCCATACCAAGCGCAGGCCTTGGAACTTTAATTTGTGCTTTTTGGATCAATTGGGGACATGTGGATGACAAACCATTAGTTTATGATTGTGATAGTTTATGGGTAGCATACTCATACTTAATCCTTGGTCCTTAGGTTGGTACATGTTGAAGCCCAATGTGACCGCAACTCTTGGCTTTGATCGTTGTGATCCTGATCTCGCTGTTCGATGCTTTCGCTGGTCGTCAGCAGCAGCGCCATCCTTGACTTTTTGTGAAATGATTGCTGGCCCCACTAGCCCACATTCGCGGAACAGCCTCCCTCATCCAGAGCCAGTCGCCCAGGGTTCCTACTTCTACTGTGCGTCCCGTCAGCCTTCCACCTCCTCAATTTACACCTCTCACTTTCACTTGCTGTCTCTCGCTTTGAATAGCTTTACTCACGTTCACTGGATTTCACTCCCTTTCACTCCCTTTCAGTCCCTTTCACTCCGGGTCCCTATATTTCATTCACTTTCTTTCACTGCCTTTCATTCACGCACTTTCACCCCCTTTCTTTCACTCTTGCACTCGCTCATGACAATATCTGTTCACTATCTTGCTTCACATCACATCTCCGCTCATCATCTACATATAGTACACTCATCCGCTATGATTCCCCTTCCTTCCATTTTTGCTTCCACTTCTTATAAGCACAAAAGCTTTAGGGCTATTCGGTCATTTTGCACATTGGCACGACCTGCCCAAGTTGCGGGGCAAGCTCTGCCGCTCATGTGTTTTGTCTTCATACAGAGTAATGTCATAGATTCTATAGATTCTTTGTTGATCGTACCTTTTTTTTTGAGAAAACATTATTGATTGCTTTCCAGGCCTTGTAGTCTGAGCCCGGCACAGAAGGAAATTCTATCAATTTCATAAAGAATAATACCCCAAAATAATGTCTACAAACCCATGCAGCAGCCCAGGTACCAACACGTGATTGATCACCAGGAGCAAGCCCATCATCTTAGAGATTTCGAACCTCAAAGCAAACAAGCATGGGATCTCATTAGACTAGAATGGATGGTCAAGGGGTACCCAATGGTCTAGGTGTCTGAAAGAACAGCCATGGCACCCTGGCGGGTCACCGCCAGGGCCCTTGGTCGATGCGTTTCTCCTGCGCACGACCCGAATTGAACCAAACAAGGGTTCGCAAACCCCGATGGACATGTGATCTGCTGGGGTCATGATGGAGCAGGTCATGATGGGCATTTGCCTGATTAAGTTCGCTTGGATGGCCCTGGTGCCCAACTCTCCGAATCGCATCAACTAGCATCCTGAGTCAAAGAATATACCAGCGGCCCTCAAACCCATGAAGAACAAAGGTTTCCACATACAAAAACCATGGTTTTTGCTAGGGATAATTTGTTTTTTGATGGTTTCTGGGCCCCTGGTAGTATTTGCTTGCTCTAATGCTCGAATGGATGCAGTTTAACTGATGCAGTAGTGTCATAGAAGACTCCGGTCACTCTGGTTTGAGGGCATCCAAAACACCGGACTCCCACATCTGCGATGCCAAGCCACATAATGCTGGCATACTCGGAGTCCAAGTAATCCTCAATCAGCCATCACCCAAAAGCAAGCAGTAGAAGTTCCAGTGTTCCACTATGTTCCTCTTCCATCACATTCGTCCAAGCTGCTCGAACAACCTCCATGAGCCACCGCAGCTTGACGATCCGCACCAAACCTCGACAGACCGAAGGAATGGATCGTCGAACACGGTGTAACGCAGCTGCCCGATGGATCCAACCCACAAGCAAAATACAGCAAGGCCCCTCAAAACGGTTCCGCAAAGGAGATGGGGTAGCTCAGCACTTCCCGGTGCATCCCCATGGTTGCTTCTTCATTTCCTCGGCAGGTCTGTAAATGAACAAGCTACACCTGGTATATCACTAGCCCTGGAAAACGCCTGACCTGATTTGTTGAGTATGATGGAATTGTGGCAAGCAGTTTCTCTTCCAGAGTGATGCCAACGCACTAGTCTCAAATCTTGCGACCATGCCCAGGAGGACCCCAGGGACCCCTGGACACTGCCAGGCCATCTCACCGTTCTCCATGGGCCGTATCGAGTTCCCGTTTTTTTTTGCGCCCCAAGCGGCGCGTGAGCCGGAAGGCTCGCAAGGCACGCCTTGGAATTGGGAGATGGACGAGCAGAAAAGGTCCAATGCATCCGAGTTGGGAAGCAATGGATCTTATGGTCCTGGCCTGGCCATGTCGTAAGTCTTACTTTCACCTCTTTTTTTTTGGAGAGGGCTTGCTATGGATGCCCGTACTAGTGAGATACTAACTTTCACCTATACAATTAACGTGTACTAGTAACTCAGTAGTAGCTTCGACTGTGCTTCTATTGAGCTTTCCCAAAGCCAAGTCGATCCAAATCTTCTCACAGTGGACCAAACCAGTATGATAATGTCCGCACAAACTCCGTGAGACAGTTGGCTTGACGAACAAATCCGACCGGCGACCCAAATCATCCAAACCATCCTCAACGAATTTGCATATATCCATTCTGATCCATTCTCGACTCACCATCCCTGCGTGAAATCAAACTCACGGTCTCGGTCGAGATGCTTCGTGCAACGAAGAGATGGGTCAGAGGTGACAAAAGGTGGAGAGTTGACCTTCAGGAAGCTGGAACCTTTTCTTTGAAGCAATTAATCTCCAAGGTGAGTTGAACTCTTGACCTTCAACCAGTTGACTTTCAAGGTGAGTGAGTTGAACCTTTTAGTTGAAGCAACCCCCTGATCTCAGGATTTTTGAGCAGTGCCAAGATGCAGAAGTCTGGCTTCTTGGAAGCCCGAGTTGGTGGATAAGAAGGAAATCATCCTGGGGCCCAAACACGCCGAAGGACCGTCCGAGAAGCATCGCAAAGGACCGTCTGGAAGTGGAACGAACTCCGAGTTCGGCAGACCCTCCCGTTTTGGAAAGCGGTGATTGAAAACAACCCAAAGTGCCACTCCTAAGCAAAATGGCAAGGGCTGTGGCACACCAAGTGTCCCTTGCATTTCTGGCCAACCACCAAAATAGCAATCAAGACACGAAGTTGCTGTAATCCTATTACAGTAAGCCAGTTGATGCTCCAAACATCCAAAATAGCGAACATTTGGGTAGCAACATTGTAGACAATACACTCTCTGGCAGGGCTGGTTTATGCCATTGCTGAAGCCAAGTTCCTTATGCTTCCAAGGCACGTGACGACCCAGTCCTCACTGCAAAACGTGGCTCACATGAGCCGCGTGACTGACCCAGCTCAGAAATGGTAGCAACCAATCCGCACAGTCTGTATTACACTTATTATATTATACCACATCATCTAAACAGCCATTGTTCACCACCCTCGGTAAAATGTGTCTGCTGCTTCGCAAGGGTTCCCTCAAATGGTCTTCCCACAGGTCTTCTCACCTCTGAAACCCCAGCATCTTCTAGACATGAGCTGCCACAATGTGGCAGCTATACAGTGAGAATATCGTGCGCATCCAACCCCGCTTCCTCTTATCAAAATAGTTTAGCACCATCTTCACTTAGACAACTTGACAAGTATGATATCCTCTGAGGCCTGCCTCAAAATATCCACACACATCCTCGCATCGCCTTCCAATTTCCCTGGGTCCCTGACCTATACTTATCCCCCTTCAGCCATGTAGTCATGTAGGCCATGTCTGCCCTCCAAACCGCATCGCGCGACGCGATCTCATGCGCCGCCCTGCGTCTGGCACCAGGGTGACTAAGTCAAGGAAGATTCCTCGTGTCAAATACCTCTTGAAGATGGCCCATGGACCTCAGCAGAACGGATCCCGGAATCGGAATCCGCCGGACTTTCCCATATATGTCACGGTGTCTAGTCATGTGTGTCACGAGACGTCCCAAGCAGGACGAGCAGGAAGTGCCTTGTAGGAGAAGACTTGAGCAAGTCCCTAAGCTGCTTGAGAGGAGGAATTGCTCAACAGATCTATGAGACGATGGCCAACCCTGGGATGGCCACCGTGGCTTGTGGCCTCCATGTGGCGAATCGGCTCGGTTCCAGCTTTGGAAGTTGATCAATCGAACGCCCATCCCTCACGACAAACTAAGTTCTATCTATTACAATGGCTCACAAGCGTCGGGACTTGCATATCCTCCATCCACACACAGACATAATCACACATATTACACACATATGGAAGCGTAAAATTAAGTTAACAAGATGGTCTTCCCAAAGGTCTTCCACTTCCCCTTCTTTGGCTGGATAGATGTGCTGCAACATCTGTGGCTCCCGGGCTCATGATGGTGACCCCGTTGTGCAAGTAGCCACACGTGAGCCTGGGCTTTGGCGGCAGCCGAGGCATGGGCACAGCCACAAAATGGGAAGTTCCCGAGGGCTTCGAAAGCAAAAAAAGCTTCAGGAAGCATGTCAAAAGATCCAGATGCCTTGTGAGGGCTAGAGCTGAGATCCAGTGGTTGTTTCTCTGTGAATCTACTGCTTGACATCGGAAACCACGGCAGGACGCAACGAACAACCCGCAGATCAGCCCACTATATCAAAGCATAGACATTTCAAAGCGGTGTAAAGTATCTACACGAAGCTAGACTCTAGCCGTCAGCAGCTGGTTCCGCCCAATATTGCATGCCTATGCCGCTATGTAAAGGCAGCATAGAACCTCCCCATGAAGAAGTAACCGAGCTCGATTTTCCATCAACTCTCAGAATCTTTTCCACCAAGATCTCCATCCAGAAAGAGCTGTTGGAGTATGGGCCAAAAAAGAGATTCACATCGATTCACCATCCCCCCTTGTGTGGTTCTTACGTGTTACCAGTGACCAGTTGTGATGGGATGCTATAGGCGCCGCCCTGCTGAAGTTGCCGCACGCTGGATTCCGCATGCGACAGCGACCAAGTGGCGTATTACCCACATTTAATGTCCAATACCTCAGCTGAGAAATGAACAAATAGATCCGAGCGGTGGGAGGGTCTCAAGACAACAATACAACAATGGGTTCCAGTCCGTGCGACAGGAACCACATAGGCAGTGGTGAAGCTCAAACGCAGCCTGCTACAGGAAGACCGTGCTAGAACCTTGCAGTCGCGCCATAGTGGCCAACATCTATCGGCGTCTTGAACCCTCTACATCTCACCAGGGTAGGTTCATCCTGTGCCAGGTGGAAGGGAAGCAGGCAGGCATTGCGAGAACAACACCAAATAGGAGCATCCCACAATGCTGCGATGTTGGAAGCCTCTGGTCCTGTTGCAACCGCCGGGGTGGCCGCCCCCAGGCCCCCACTCCATGCAGCAGGAGAAGCCGAGATGCGACAAGCCTATCATGCCTAAGGCATCTGTAAAGGGTCCATCCACCTCATCGAACACCATGAGTGGCAGTGCCACAATATCCTCGCAGGCTCAAGCGGAAGAGAAGCTGCAAATGATTGCAGCTCCTACATGCCCACACTACGCCCCAACAAAATGCCCAAATAAACAGAGGCATACCCGACAGCAAACGAACATGGAACCTGAGAATTGACCGGTGGAAGACCCTTTTCCTCTACAACCCAGTGGTTTTGGGGTCATGTTAACCTGCAGGGGAGTAAATCATAATCACCTTTAAACGCAATCAGCTATGGAAGTGATTTCTTGCAAGCACAGCCAGTCAGCGCTCACCTGTTTCCATGCTCAAATCACTGGAAGGGTGGAAGGACAGGTCATGATTCACAGAACCATGTATGTGGAACTATAGACGCAACATATTTTGAATGCATGATAATGAATGTATGTGTTAACTGTTTTGCTATGTATATAGTATTTTTATGTTTTTCTAACACTGGGCTCCACCTGCAACCATCTAGTTTCACGGCTCCATCTGCAATTTTGCAGTTGCACATCCTTTCTCTTCAAGGCTGGCTGGTCGTACTCCGGCTGGCCAAGCTTCCCAAAGGATCATGACGCCGCCGATGGCATCCCAGATCATCCTCTTCGGACTGGTCGGGCTTCCAATGATGTGCTTCCACATGCCATTGCTCCTGAGGCTCACCCGAATTAGGCGTCCATACGGACGGTGAGAACACCGGCACGGGAGAACAAAAAACAAACAACGACATCGAACGACCAAAAAACACCATTCACATGCAAAGCAAGGATATGATAACCATCATCTGTGATTCACTTCCAAGCAGTCACACAGTGTCACACACCAATCGAATATTCGGCCCAGCATCAATCCAACGATCTCCGTATCCTCCTCCGCGATGCTGGAGCGTTTATTCTCCATACCTTGCGAAGGATTCAAGGTGATTCACCCGTCGAGTTGTGAAGTACGAAGGAACTGGAACTGGATAAGGAGGAAGCAAATTCAGCCAATCTTTGTCATCCATCTTCTTGGTGCATACTTGGGGTGTCGGCATCCATGAAGCAAAGGGAAAACGACAAATTTCATCTCGACAATCCTTCTCCAAGGACGATCATCGCGACCCGCGGTCGGCATCGCAACAATTCGTGAGATGGATCGATTTCTGGGTCGGTTGGTCGGTTGGTCTGGGATGATCCCGCCCCAAACACTCCGAACAGGATTTTTCAGGGTCAATCGCCAAACAGGTCGCCACCCGCCAGTCGCGGCCGAGGATTGACTCAAACAACGAAGCCGGCCTAGGCATAGATCAAGCATGATAAACCTCTCCCCTGTCTTGGAAACCAAACGTTCTTTTTGTTATGGGCACCTTCTTGTTGTTTCTTAGAGGGGGGATCGCCGCGATGGCCCACGCTAGGCCGAAGCGGCGATCCATGGTCTGCGACCTCTGCAACGCGGCCACCTGCAACCGCAACGGCAGGACTACGAATGGAAGTGGCTGTGGGGTGAAGCTTGCTTTCCCTACAGCGGGGCAAATCCCTCAAGTATAACTGTTCTGGAAACAACTTCAACTTTTGGCTAAACGGATCTAAATATATATATATATATATAATTTGATATAACTATATATAATACTACCATTAAAAATATCCTTTCAACGTGTCAATTCATTGCCAACAAATACATAAACGACAACAGCTTTTCTCTGAGCTACCTAGGATAGGAGCAGCAACACATTGGAATCCATCCCCTGTACATCCCTGTACTGTAAGTTCCTTTTTAGCACCATGGGTCAGTGCGCACATGTGCGCACCATCCCCGCCTGTTGTTGGGATCTCGTCTTTCCTGAGTAGCTGAGTGATAAGCGCAGAGCTCGACTCGTACTGGCCTGTGAAAGCTTGGCAAATCAAACAAGTAAAGCACCTGGTGGCCACTTACTGAATAACCGCCCAATGGTGTCCAGTTGAATCATGTGCACATTTAGAGCCTACCTGCACCTGGGTGACCAAAAGGCTTCGAAGAGACTCTAGGCCCAGGAGTTCAATCCAAGAGGCCCAAAGAGGTTCTCATCCAAACGTCTCGGATATAGTAAGTGGACTTTGGAGCGTGAACATCTGCCCCCTCCTCCTCATTCTCAATTTCTTCGCCTAGAAGGGAGAGACGTAGCAGCTTGGGAAGCCCAACAAGTGATTTGTGCAACCAGTTGGGATCATAGAGCAATTACAACCCGGGCCAGGCCATATCGTTTGTACATACATGTTTATCCTGTATGTGGTTGCGAATGCATGAAGCATCCTCAAACAAATTGTTTGTTGTAGTTATCGAATTGGTCCAACTAACAAATGCAAACAGTGCCTTCTCGCGATTCCAACTGGTGCGCATTGTCCTCATGGTTGTTGGCTTTGCTACACTTCATGCCGTTCCGTTGTTGCATAAACACCGGGCCAAAGTGGATGCTTTGCTAGCCTTTGCAAGCTGGCTGACCCAATGGGTTCTTGTTGAGGTTTTGGGAATCGACTCAGGGTCTAACCAGTTTCCCTTCGCACGTTCTGCAGCTTTCCCTTCGCACATGCACATCGTCAAAACCAGCTGTCACCAAGTAATAAATATATATATATATAGACTCTTGATTAATACCCCCCCCAGATGGCACCTGTGGTAACACTCGAGACCCATATACAGCAAGGGCGGCCTGGGCAGCAGTGCTGCGTACCAGTGACCCAAACCGAATTATATGCCCTTTTAATAGCCGTCCAGCAGATAATGTGCACCTCAACCACAGCCAAAGTCACCTTTGTTACAGATTCCCAATTCGTCGCCAACCAGGTGACGCATATTGTGCAAGGCACATATCAGCAAACACCACATAAGAGTGCACATTGGGCCATTGGGACTTGATTAAGCGACTAGCAGATCTGTGGGATCCATCCAGATTCCAGATCGTTAAAATTGCCTCACGTAGGGATATTACCACAGCACGTAATGCCTCCGAGGCATGGCATCTCCGGGGAAATGACATGGACCGTGCCGCCGCACTGGTGCGACGTGCTGATGATCACGAATTTAACAATTTGTGTTTGGAAGTGCGAGCGCATTGGAATAAGTCCCAGGACATTTTCTCTGATATACCAATACTTTTTAGACATTGCTTACACACGTATGGAAAGTGCCAAGAAACCAGTAAGCAGCACCCCAGAAAGTCGTCAGGAGCACCAGCAGGTCTCAGACCCCACACAATTACAAATTCACCGCCTCAGACAAAAAGTCGTCAGGAGCACCAGCAGGTCTCAGACCCCACACAATTACAAATTCACCGCCTCAGGCAATGGCGAGTTCTGGGCGATGCATTTGTTTTGCCAGATGAGCCACAACGGGTTGTTTTTTGGTGTAGCAGCTGGGGGGGCCAATCTCACATACATGATCTGGAAATTTGTAATAGCCTCATTTGGCCAGAACCCAGCGCCCCTGCCACACCAGGGGACCCAGGTATTTCTTGGACAGAATTGGCCATTTCCTTTCCTTTATGCACTGGTCCCAAAAGATGTTACCAAATTTGTTTTAAAGATGGTAAAGGCTACACCACCTTGCAATATGATGACCCCCAAGTACTTCTTCTACCCGTCAAGGCCAAGTCATTGCGAGTTTTAGCAGAGAACTTTCCGTTGGATAGTTAAGCATATACATACTGTTTCTCGCACCAAAATTATGCCATCTTACAAAAAGCAGGGTACAACAAGTTTGACACGGCTGGGTTTTACCTCCTACCATGAAGGGGGAATTGCTCGACGACCAACTTTGCCAAACGCAAATGCTTCGCATATGTTTACATTCAACAAATGCTTCGCACCATGCCACATGATCCGCCATACCATACAGAAATTTTGCCTCCTGTCTTACCGGCAGGCGCGCAACCTTGTGAATGGCCGGCTTTACCAGAAGTATCTAAAGCCAAGCAAGACTCGTTTATCCAACATGTTCGATACGCCCTTTTTCGGGGCAAGCCATTTGATAGTATGCAACATCCAGAGGCCTCATGAATTAATTGCCATTGCCTGTCCAAATGACCATCTGGATCCAATGCACCGTGCCGGTGCCTAAATTAGGAATTTGGTGACCATGTCAACCCCCTCCAACTTCATGCCTTCGTAGATGCCCGGTTCTTGTACAGTGATCTTTACATGTAGGTACCTCCAGATCGGTTGTTCGGGTCTCACCCAGTACTGCCCTACCTAAACCCGCTGGACAACCCGGCAAGGGATAGAGTGGGGGCGAGCCGCACGTTGCCCGCAAGTCCGTGCATTCAAATGGGGTGCTTTATTAATCAAGAGTCTACATTACGCACCTGCAGGCCTACTACGCGCCCGCACTAAGTGATGATGGCAACCAAATTGTTCATTCTAGTCAGCCAAGGGCTGGCAAGTGATCCCTTCATCTGAGGTCATCAACTGAAGTCCCTCAATGGTGCGCCACCGAAGCGTGGGCTTTTGGGACATTTGGGCATGCAATAGCTTCTTGTTACTACTAGTAAGGCACCTGTTACTACTAGCGTGGCACTTGTTACTAGTAGCAATCCCTGTGAAACACTGAAGATGCGGTCGACTCCAAATTCTCCCACCGTGCCTTCACCCGCCTGACTCCTGGGGCGACAGGATGAGAACGAAAGGCTCTGAAAAGGGGTTTTCACTCTACACATCTCTGCACAAAACCATTTGCTTCCTCAGACGTTGTAAACATGCTTTAACATCTCAAGTTCCATCTTGGACGACCCTACGCAACCTACTGGCCTTTGCTTCATGAATCAGGTTGCATATATAAAGTTCATTCACGCTCCGCTCTTGGCCGGGCCAGTTCCCACCAGACTTAACCAGCTGCATATTACTGGTGGCAAAAAAGGGAAAAATGTTTCTATCAAAGAAAGGAACATCAATTATATAATATAAAGAAAGTCCAACCGTTTCAAACATGCAAAGAAACAAACCCTATTGAACTGAAACATCCTATTGTTTACCCCTGAAATGGTGTGCAATTTTATCCGATGAGTAATATTCAAGTTTGAACTGGCAAAGAGTCGTTCCACCCAAATCTGGTCTCCAGGTGTTTCCCCCTCGTCGCCTCTCTTCAGATTTTGAATTTTTTGAAGGCCTGACAGGCGGCGGCAAAGGGCTGACGAATGTCACTGGGTAGGAGGTCATCTCTCTTATCTGCACTGGGTCGTGTCTTCTCTTACACACCTTGACAATCAACCAGTGTCTAAGCTGTGCGAAACACCAACTTGGGTAGCTGAAATATGCTGACAACACATTGAAAGTCACATATGTGCAGGGCATAGATTGGTCATTGCGTGACATGACAGTCACACGGGCAGAAGTGTTGTGCATGTGGCGTATTCCTTTCAATCATGGCGGCACAACCCCATTCGAGGATTCCATGGCAACCCCAGTTCCATGGGGCAGGGAGTCGTAGCACAACCCTACGTCTCTCAAACTAACAGTCTCCGAAACTGTCATGAAATGGATCTCGGAGATGCTTGGCTCAAGCTAGCTTAGCTTCATCTCCCCCATCAGTCCACAACCCCCCAAAAAAAAGAGAAACCTACTAACATTATCTAACATAATCTAACATGTGACTTTTTCATACAAAAACTAAAACCATCGAAAGCCCGTTTGTTTGGGCCAAAGCACGCCCAAGGGGGGACGGTCTCTGAATGCACACCTCCACCAATCGAACCCTGACCTCTCCAGTGGCACTGCCATTGATCCCTCATCCACGGGCGACTTCAGACCGCTCAGCTCCGCTACACCGCTCTGGCTTTTCATCCGCACCTGGGACGAGAAGCGGCCGCAAGTGGCCGGGACGGCTCTAAAAGATGCGCCAAATCGAATTAAGAGGGATCTGTAAGTCTCACATGTCACAAATCAAATCGGTGGAGTTCCCTCGAATTCTTCAGATCTCATCCCAAATCTCTCTCCATCTCTCTCCCTCCCTCGATTCTGACCCCCGCCCTCCCAAGGCACAGTCGTATTTCTGGTGAACTCGGCCGCCGGAAGGCTCACAGTGGGGTTCACAAAGGCGATCTCTGGCTCCACCTCTCCCTCGCGCCCACCGCTATACGCACCGCTTACGCACCGCGTTGTCGGGGACCGAAAGGACGTCAACAGGCCCAGGTCGTTTTCTTCATGGGCGCCTTCTCCGGCGCCCTTGAGGTTCTAGAGTCCGAAACAAGTGACCAGTGATGTGTATGAATGTATGATAAATGTAAATGTGTGTTGGTCGATGTTTGTTGTATAATATTCAGACCTTCTGCTCACCAAATATACCCGTGGATTATAATGTTCATCTCCAAAAAGTCCATTGATGAACTGCGACTCGGCTTACTATGTCGTGGTGTTCGGGCCTTTACATTGTGTGCAACGAAGATGCAGCCTAGAAAACATAGCCTGGGGCATTACCTGTATCTTCTACAAATAAAAGCTACAAGTCCAAGCGGAAAGTGGCAAGCCATAGCATGCCATAGCAGCGATCAACAACCTGTCTTCGGGCGATGATCAAAAAGGGAAGACCCACCGTCTGCAGATCCCATGGTTGTTTATTATATATTGGGTCTTGAAAAGTCTTGAAAACAGAAGACCTCCAAAGGACATGTCAGCCAAAACCCACTGATCAAAGGGTATCCTTATTCTATCGTATCCAACTTCCACCTGCGAAGCCACATGAAACAACCTCTATGCACTCCAATGGATAAACACCTTTGCCTTTGCTCCGCGAGGCCTCTTCTGCATCGGTCTTGCTGGCGATCACTGACCTAGGATCCAGCCAAAGGGTGTGGACTGAGCTTCCAACTCCTCCCCACTCTCCCACAAAACAGGCTTGTTGGACTCCTACGATTACTTCATACTACTTCCTATGCTTGCTTCTCTGGATGTCCCAAGTTTCTACACCTTTTGACCTGACTGCGTGCAACTGCCATGGGTCACCGCCATGGGTCGCAGCTGGCATGAAGCCTGCTGACATCGAACCCAACCTTCATCCCCTTGCGGCAAGTTGACAACTGCATGTGCTGGGTTCTCACCCCTGAAGGCCTTAAGGCAGTACAGAACATATACGCCCGGAAAGAATTGACATGGAACCTGAAAACCACTGAAGGAACCGAGTTGACATAGTTTTCCACAGGCCCATTTCAGATTCTATGATATCTAAAATCTCTATGATGTTCTATATGTTATATATATAATCTTCCCGGGTGTATGACATCCATTGACATGCGCAGAATCCCTTCGGCTTCATGGTGCCAAGCTCTTTCTGCCCAAGGGGCTTTTGTGTGCGTCGCGTCGCACGAGTGCCACGTAGACCGGTTCTGTCCCTGACGAGATCGGAAAACCCAGCGCGCGATGGATTCCGCGCGGATAGGAAAATGGGTTGGAGGCCATTGCTATGAGGGGGAGATCGCTGAATAACACAAAGCGCAATTGGTTCCCAGAAACGGCCATATCTTTGCTGGAATCTAGTCCTGGAAGGCTTAACAAAATCGAAGTGTGGGACTACATTAGGATGGCAAGCAGCCCTGATGGTCATTTCTAGTAAACACTGAGTGCCTGAGGGCCTCACGCGGCCAACACCGATCGCGAACCGCGCCGATCGTGGGACTGTGGGACCGATCGTCCGAGCTGAAACACGGCTGATTGACCCTTCTTTGGGTAAGCCGGTGGTTTACCCAAGCCGTTGAAACACTGATAGTAACACTTTTCTTTACCCATCTGTAGACCCATGTCTGATAACTCCGAAATGCCGAGTGGCTTCATCTTCATACTCAACAGCCGGTTTTCTGCTTGCAAGTGATCCATGCGCATCTGCCTGGCAACGAACGCGCATCACAAGGTTCTTTGGACACCATTCCTTGGCATCCACGGGATGTCCTAAGGGTTCAATGAGTCCGCACAGCTGGCTTGGTCAGGCATGCCTCGTAGAATCTCAGGCAGTGGGGAATGGTCACCTTGACGCCTCCCTTGGAAGGCTCCAAACACCCGGTGCCAGTGCCCACCGGGTCTCCGTCCACCGTTCCATTCCACATCGGACGTTTTTCCTCCAAGTTGCAGCGTCTCGACCTCCGCTTCGTGACACGTGGCCAGCGCCGCCTCGGTTTCTTAGACGGCGCGTGGTCTGGTGCTGAAGAATGGCACAAGGTCTGTGTGTGTTTTCTGTTTTTCGGTCAAAAACCTAAAACAACGTCATCAGTGATACTAGCACTGGGGCCCAGCACTTGAGATACCCCAGTTCTTCTGTGTTGCAATGCTGTCTACTGTTCATGTTCCCTCACGCCGGAAAGGATTATGTGATACTATGGTATAATACGTGATTCATAAATATGCTTCATGAAAAAAACATGTCATACAACCTCTAATTTCGTCTAATCTCTACGTCCCATGTATCGCATTGGTTCCATCTTGCTGAGACCAAAGGAAAAAAAAGCATCAAGCAACCTGCAGCTTGCTTGCAGCTTGCTTGCAGCTTGCTTGCAGCTTGCTTGCAGCTGCAGGTTGGAAAGGGCCAATGGCAGTGACCCGGAGCTTGCAGCTCTGCCAAGTCACGAGCAACTCTTTGAAGGTGACGGGCTCCGTGGACGTCCGACGCGTGGAGAAGGGGCCTTCCTGCCGAGGCGACGGTGGAGGCGATGCTGAGTCGGTGGAGGCGATGGTCTCACAGTCTCACCCCCGGTGGGTTCCCATGTTGGGATATTGGATGCCCCCAATGGAACACGCAATGACTATATCTAATGCGTGTGAAAGTGTAATCTATGACATTATGATGATCTTTGATGTCTTTGAAGCATATCTCAAGTCTCAAGGCATCTCAGATCACTTCGTGAAGGGCAGTTTCTCAAAGGGTCCAATGCTGGAAACAGGCAGCTGCCTGCCGTCTGTCCTCCCATCGAAATGGTTGGATCTGTCTGTTACTTGGAGCCCTGAATACAAGAGAGCACCGGCCACTGACATGACATGTAAGTTTAATACTTAACTTAATGAACAATTGATTGATGAATCATGATGAACACCTATATAATAGTTCTTGTAGCACTGAGCGTTCACTTTGGGCACGACGCCCATCAGCCTCACAGAGTGCTGTTCACCCTCACCCTCTGCCCCTCTCCTTTCAAACAGTGCAGATTGGCCTCCTCACATCTCATCACGGCTTACAGCAAACACGAACCATTCAAACCATTCAAAAAAACTCCAGGACCGTCCATTTCCCTTTTTTATCTGTTCTCACCGTCGACTCCACCGAGGCACGTTTTCCGAGATGCTGTTCTTCTCCATGTTGATGGGCGCTTGCATCATCGAGGCGGTCGCCAGCATGGGCACCAACCGATGGGGGCGGTGCCGCGCCCGGCGCCGCACGCTTCTGTGCGATGGTGTGGGTCCCAGTTGACAGCTGGATGGCTAGCAGATTTCTGGCGGTGGTTGATCGGATGGAGAAGATGAAAGCTCAAAGACAACAGACCATCAAACTCAGGGGCAAGTTTAAGCTGCAAAACTTGAAAACCCACAAGCTGCTTCGTATCTCTTTTTGAGCAGTCGAAACTGGGCAAGTCGGCACTTCTGGCCACACACGTCTGAATGAGCAAGGCTGAAACGGACTCCGTACATGAGACTGGACCAACCGAGTGTACTGCAGACATACTCAGCTGGGCTATTCTCGAGCTCACAGGCGATCACGCAACAGCTCCTTTGTAGCTGTCTTCCTTATCTCCTCGACAGTTCCCAATCTCTCCATATCCGAGCCCTGTGACGGCAAACATCGTGGGCTCATTATATATAATCATTATATGTACTGTAATCATATTCATCACCTCTCCGGCTGCATTGCAAAAGTCCTCACAATTGTTGCACTTCTGTGTGATTGCCCGAGGGTCCACCAGCGCAGTGCCCGAAGCGCGGCCATGCTGGGGCACTCTGTGATCGAACCCATTGGGGCGCATCCATGGCAGCGCATGGTGCTTTTCATCAGAGCGAACACACCAGGATTTAAACTTGTTTTGACACCAAGTCACTTTGACAATGGCAAAGATGCAATCTGTCCTAGTCAAAGTAACTTCTTACAACTCTCCTGTCAAGCCAAGCCGGTCTTGTACTGTATTGACTTGAAGACGACGGGCTCAAATAACGATGACGGCCCCAATTAGGAGGCCCTGCATCAAAAATATACACTTTCAAGGACCCATGGCATAGTGAAAGGAGTTGATTTGAATGAGTGGAACTTGACCATGCCGTGCATGCCGTGCATCGAAGGTTCTCTGAAACCAATGAAAAAGGATGAAAATGGTCGTTCGGGGGTTAGTGACATTTTCCAACTTCTGTACCACCTGCAACGCCAAGCCCCTGCTCATTGTGCTCATTTCCAGCCAGTTTGGACACATGCTCTATCCGGACATCAAATGTGCAGAACTTGTCATCCGGACAGATAAATTCAGCATCTTCTAGTGCGTTAAAAACATGCTCCCAATTTAGAGAAAAGACCAAATCTCCAGATTCATAACTCATAGGTTCAAAACATAGAAAGGGCCAACCAACCCCAGCGCCCAAACACGGTTTAGCCTAAACAGCTACCGATTGGGAAGGTTCAATTCAGGTACTGTAAGGAACGTAGAGAAGACCCAGCCCAAGCACTCCTGGCAACACAGCTGTGGCAGGTCGCATCTGGAGACTTGAGCGCCCTGCTGGCTGATCCTTCCTTCGGACTCTTGTCCTGGAAAGGTGCGCCCCGTGGGAAGGTAATTAAACCTGGTGGGAAGAACATGGCTGAGCCTCTCTCTCTCTCTCTCCCCTCCCTCCCTCCTTCCCTCCCTCCCTCCCTGGATGTTCCAGGCCGAATCGCCAAACTACCTGGCTCATTCAGCCCAGCTGTGTCAGCACCCTAAGAGTCTAAAAGGCTAAAAGGCACCGTCCCACCTTGCTGCACCCCTCCCAGCTGCCCGTCGTCCTCCTTGCTCCTGGCAGGTCCGTTCCAAAAAAGCGCCCTCGCGTCACCAAACTGAAGCTGTCCAACACAGAACCCAGCTGTTGCAAATGTGCTTAGGAGCCCCTAGTAGCTTCCTAGTAGTACGGCCAGGAGCCCCGTTCGTAGCGTCCAATCGCTCCTAGCGTCCTTGCTTGATCTGGGATTTTCTCTTGGCCTGGTTCGGATTGCAATGCCAATGCCACTTCTTGACAATCTCGCTCGGCCTCCCAGCCGAGCGAACACACACCGTGTCACACCTGCCCTCCAAACCCGCCCGTGCAAGGTATGCCAGTGGTTCCAAGAAAACGCAGATCTCGTGGCCATGAGGATCTGCCTCAGAATCTCGTGGCCCGGGGGGGGGTCCAACTCCAGGTGAGTTTGGTTCGAAGTTGAGACAAAGTTCTTCCTCCAACGTCGCCTGCGAACTAGGAGAAACACTGAAACACTAAGCAAGTCAACTGTATGGTGTCGAGACGATTCTATTGCCCCCATTCGCCATCATCCTTGCAAAAAAAGGTACCAAGCGCAGGCTACCTTCGCAAGAATCAGTTGCAGTTGCGGGAGACAACATTCCCTGAATAGGTAACCATAGGTAACTAGGTAACCAATAACTAATCCACTAATCAATCCCTAAGTTACAGCGAGCGACGCTTGAGCAGCCCTGCATGGGTTAAAACCATTTCTGAACCTTTGCAATTTGGGCAGCTGGGTTTCCAGCAACGCGCCAGGGGCCAAAAACAAGGCGACCTGCGAGCTGCTCCAATTTGGGCATAGCATGCCAGCGTTGAGCACGACTGTGGGGGTTGACGGAGACTGTCAAAGGAATCTGGGAAAGGCAACAAGCACATGTCCGACTCTCAGTGTGGGCCCAGTGGTCCCCAGCAATTTTCTCCCCCGGTTCGGCCAACAACGATTCAGCAGCGCCCATTACGGGGACCGATCGACGGCGCCTCGCTGAGGTGGCCTTGGATCTCCATGAAGGTCTCCTCTCGCAATTGGTGCCTCAGCTGAGATGATCAGCGAGTTCGGGCCTTTGGGGTTTGGCGCAGTTACCTCGTTGTGCATCTCAAACATTGGGAGAGCCTGCAATTCAAAAATGGCTTCTCAAGGGGTTCACAGCAGGAGCATGGCACCTGGATTGATATGGATTGATGATTGATGCTTTTGGAGGCGGCGGAACATTCAACCTGAGTAATTAGCCTGACTGTTATATATTATGATATATTAAATATGTTCTATAGCACTACTCTCGGCCTCTCAACTGGCCCATTTCGTTTACCTCGATCGATTCAAGGAGTCCACGAGAGTCTCAGCTGGCTCACATTGGCTCATGGTGTTCCTTCCAAAGGCTGAGCTGAAGCACCTCTGAATGCGGAAGTTCAGCTGCAAGGGGTTCACCTAGGCAACTGCACCCCAGGGCAGGGGGGTTTGGTTTTTCATCGTCATTGGATGTGGGAGATATGGATTATCCTGCCAGCGTCCGAGGAGAAGGACTCATACCGCATACCCGATTGAGAGATAACAATAGCGGCGCGGAATTATACTATTGGCCCTGGCCATTTAAATAGGCGCCATTCCTTGTAGAATTCACCGATCTTCATGCTCATCTTCCCTTTTTGTTCGCAGCCCCTCTCAAAAGCTTGTGAACCCCCTCTCATGGTTTCACGGCAAAACTTCCCACACTCCCCGAGATTGGGCTCCACCGACCACATTGAAGTGGGCGCCGCTCGAGGACACAGCACCTGAGACGCACCGTGAGGCGCGAGCCGAGCGCGTCCACCCGCTTGAGCAGCTCGAGTTGAGCGGTGACGCCCTGTTAAACCAAGGCTGGGTAAAAGTCCCACAAAGTTGAAAACCACAACTTCCGGTGATTGCAAAGCCTTCCAAGGCTCCCAGAAGCCAGGGACCCACCCTTTGATTCTTGTGTGAATCATGTTCATGATTCATGCCCCTGCAACCGCAAAAACATGCCAAAACACTTTCAAACGGTGTGGGTAGGCTTGCATGGTCGGTGCCTCAACATCCTTGGAGCCAAAGCCCATTTGGCACATCCCAGGCTGCCGGGCGCAGGCAGGTGTCCTTCAATTCAAGCTCTGCTTCCATACCTCGGGATGCGAAGATGTCGTTTTGGTAGAAGGTTGCTGAATGAAATCCTGGATTCCAAATCACTATAATAGCCTTCGGTTCAGTTCATCTTGGCTCTTGCTGTTTCTGTCCAGCAACCACTTCTTCTGACATCTGAATCTGGGTCTTGCGACGCTCCCAGGTGCATGGTTTGGAGGTCACACGCACGTGTCCCAAACCTCAGAGCAAATCGCTGTCGAACTCCGGCGTCGAACTCCGAGTTCGGACCAGTCGAATCTGGACGTGTCGTCTCTTGGCGCGGGACCCTTTTGTCCTTTTGAGAAGAATCTCATCACCACTCCAGGGGTTCGCGTTCCAGTCTTCTGCAAGCTCCATTCCGCGGAACGGAGGTGCCCGTGCTTCAGGAAGAAGAGCGAAAGGGATAAGAACTGCGAGGCACTACACATCTACACACACAAAAAAAAACATAAAAACACATAACAAAGATACAATCGACACAAAGAATCAAAGGGTGACTACAAGGGGGTGATGATGTCATGGTCCCATTTGTTTGCAACATGGTATGTCCATGTTTGCGGGCCGGCTTGAAGAACCAGGGTTCTGTTCAAACGGAGTTTGGAGCACTTCGGAAAAAAGAACAGTAATTAACCAAGACCTTTACAGTTTGTAGTCTTATAGTCATCCAACAAGATGGTCCTAATCCAAAATCACTATAATACTATAAAGTTATTATATCGGAAGCTTGTCCAGCCCAAAAGGGCCCGTTCCGTACCCTACTTGAAGAACTACCTGCTTGCCAACTATAGTGCTGGAGCCTACCAAAGTCGAGCAATAGCCCCAAAAATGTCCCAAACCACCACAACCGCCGCTGGTTTCTGGCGCCACACACCGGTCTGCATGGCTGAGCCACCGAACGGACCGCCGCAGGGTCACATCCGCTTCCGTCGGTGGACGGCATACTGGGCCCCCCCACCGAAGCGGCTGGTTCCAAAGGCTCCCGGCACCTGGGGTGGGAGCGGATCGAGAGACGAGCTCAATGGCGCAAGCGACGGGCCTTTGTGGCAACCGGGAACCAGATACAGAAATCAGAAACGGATGACATTGAGATATACCAATCACTGCCAATCTAATAGATTCCTGTGTTTCAATCATGCGGTTGTGTTTCATGTGTTCTTTTTGGTGGCTGAAAACTGGACTTCTTGATGGACTTTGTAAAACACCTCTTCCTTTTTTGGAGCATTTTAAGGCCACCACCTCACAGCGCTCACAGGTGATCACAAGTGGACCAATATGATGTGTGAGCACGTTTCTTTCTGCGGCCCTGGGGGCCACATCTCTTCGGTGGTACCTCCAGGCAACCTAACTACATTGTGGTCCGTCGCTACATGTAAGCTTCTGGGAGTGCCATTTACTTTGTACTTGAGGACAGTGGGGACGAAAGCGAGCGGTGTGGAAGGATCAAGGGGAAGGAACGATTCAATTTTGAGCCTCACCATATTTCGTAAACAACAACTTCCGCTGAGCTCCTTCTGAGCTCGCTTTCGTGATTTGTGTGGACACCATAACTTCATCCTGGTGTACTTTCTTTGCATATCATCTCCCATACTCTCTCTCATGATCTGTATGCCATTGGATTTCCCAGCAGGCTCTGTATCCACAAGCTTCAGTTCCTTGTCACTTTTCATGCGTCTCTTGCCACGAGACAAAGCTCAAACGCAAACCCTGCTGCCAAAATGGATTGACATCAACCCTGCAACAACTGCCACAAAATGCCGTAAAGATCTTGACCTTCGAAGCATGGCTTCTATGTGGTGAACTATAAACTATACCACCGCACCTCATCCGATTTTCCAATCCGGCAAACACTATCCCACATCCCCAGGGTCCACACCAAGAGCACTGGAGAAGCAATGCACACATCCACTGCCAGGAGGTCTGGAATCTGTTCATAGACCTCTTCTAAGAATTGCTGCACGACAATTGCTCGGCTTTTGGAGGGGTTCGAGTGGCTCAAGGTGGCCGTGGTTCCAAAACATTCCAAAAGTAGATGAGTTCGGCGCACAGCGACACCATCCGAGAAACCCAGCGACGTCCGGGTGGTCACCGGCTGTGTCACAGCGACGCCGAAGCCTTCTCCACCACCTCCTTGACGACCGGGCCCGGCTCCTGGATGCGGCCCATATCAAGGTCCGGAAGATAGTCCGTTGGTTACACAAGAATCAAGCATTTTGATGAAGGGCCTCATTGAGACTTCAGTAAGACTTGCCAAAGATTCATTCCATGCCATTCCTTTGCACAGTCTCTTCAACGTCAACAGCAATGAGCAAAAGAACTAGAAGGATAATCGGAAGTACCCTATATATAACTATATAACCAGAAGGGTAAAGCTACCAACGTAGCAGTCCTTGCACCATTCATTTTTCTACCAAAAAATACATGGACCAGCAATTTGGCAATGCAAGTGCCCAAAGAAACTCACTTAGTTTCTTTGAAATAAATTACCTTTCGCGGTCTATCAATTTCTGTAGAGAGTGCATGTACGTGCATGTTGTGGTTCAACATGTTCCTGTGGCACAGATAGGGCGGCTCATTGGTGGCTCTGGACGGGGGTGCTCCGGGGACTTCAGGAATCCTAGAACAACCATGTTGACATCACAACATTGTCATCGAAACTGCAGCAGTGCCGTCGCTATATAAAAGGTGTGAGCCACTTGAACTTCCGCTGGTCCGCTGGACACCCCTGTCGAAAATCCCCAAAAAGAATTTGGACAACTCGACCAGGGACTTGTTGCGTAGATTGGTTGCACACGGTGTGGCCAAGGAAAAAAATATTTTGTTTATGTTGGCAGGCGGTGATCAGATAGCAGAGTCGCTTGCAAATGTTGGAAAGCGAAAGCTCCGACGGTGCAACCTTTTGTGCAATGATTCCAAAAATGCCATCGATCACAGGAACCTCCTTGCAGCTCACTACCTCAACAAGGGGGACCTGGGTTGGAATGGGCCTTGAGAACTCTCACGATCTTTCGCACAAAGGCATGCGAAGCATGCGTGGTGCCATGCGATACTTTCAAACAAGCATTGTGGCAAACTTGAGACCGAGTGCAGCTGAAAACATTAGCCGCTTGACTGATGACGCGGCGTCTTTTGTGCTGGTAATGGGCTTCTGTAGACATTTCCAAGCATGATAAGACATGTGCAACAACCTTGAAACTACACTCTATAAACTTATATCACATGCTGCTGCTAAACATTTAGGAGCACTTTTTGCCAAAAAAAAGATGCTGAAGATCAAACATTCGGCTTGTTACAAGCAGTGCAAATGCACTGTGATTTGCAGTGTGGAAAACACATCATTTTTTTACTGGCGCCAGCAGTACAAGTTGAATGTTTTTTCAACGTGAAACGATATGCAAAACCATGAAACTACACCCTGACTGCGAGATGAACGAAACATTTCCAAAATCTTTCTTTACTGTATTCAATGATTCAACGCGGTTGTTTTTCTCGAACACATCCGTTCTCTTGGCACCCTTTTCAATGCTTCAAACCGTGCACACTTCATCAGAAACACAGGCAGGCTCCGCGTGTCCGACCCGGAGAAGCTCCCGTCTGGAGCCTCATTTGTCTATTCCTATATTTCCATGCAATTTTGGTTATGCCTTTTCCGATATCATTCTCGGCCCACCTCTTCCTCTTCATCAACCTGGCTGATCGATGCATCGTCTTGGGGAAAGAACCTTGGAGCATGCACACGCACCGTGCACCTCACACTGTACCACATGGTGTTGTATGCTGCATCGTGCTGCCAAGCAACTGAACAATACCAGCAAGCAAACCTTGTGCCAAAAAGACCTGGCTCTCACAAAGCTATAATCACATAAGTCAAATGATCCGAGCAACTGAACATCAGTGATGGCTTGGCCCAGGACATCTGATCTGTAGACACCTGGATCTGACACTTCCTCGCCATCAGGCGCATGCCGCCCCCCAGTCGTTCTCGACATCTCTCGACCTCCAAGGGTGCCAAGCGAGCATTGACCTTCAGGAGGTTTTGCGAGGGCCTGACTGACGAACAAAGGAGAACTCAGCACGTCTGAAGAAGTCCAAAGTAGGGAGCCATGAATTGGTGATGTCGACCTGTGTTAACTACTGATTGTACTCAGACTTTGAGGCTAGAACATGTCCTATTATGGCTTTCCTTCGCCAGGAGCGCAACTAGCTATCAACCACATTCAGTACACTTTCCGAGAGCTCAGGGCCGGGACTCTAAACTGTTTGCCAGCACCTGCAGCAGAGTCATGTCAGCAATTCCAATGAATGCAACATAGACTGGTTGTAAAGTACAGAAGGGCTGCCTGCAAAACATGAGGCTCACCAAATCTCACCAACTAGAGGGATTTCACGAAAGCTGGGATTCCAGGATCATAGAGCCTTTCGGTAAACCTCGGGACGCCTCCTTACTGCTCCAATCTTTGCGGCTTGATCATGGTGTGATCGCACCCCAAATCCGGCGTTTCACTTCCCCCAAAATGCATGAGGAAACTTCCCCCTGTCACCGGGGCATCGACCTTCCCTTCCACCATCGACCTTCGCATCGTCCGCTTCGGTCGAACCGGACGGATTCGGAGCACCGGACGCATCGGGCGTCGCGTCGTCAAGTTCCGAGTTCGGGGCACCACATGCGCCACATGTCGCTCGGACCTCGTGCGGGGTGCGAAATGGGAGGGACCCCAAGTGGGGGGGGCCAAAGCGGGGGGCCGTATCAATGGCCCAAAAGAACGATTGGAGCGAACCCTTTCATCATCATTGATCATCTCTCAGGTAGTTTGATTATGAAGAGGTTATATAATGATGATCAATGTGGAATGCCCAATGCCCGATCGAAATCTTTGTGAGGTCACTCTATGACTCTATGACTGCATGGTTTATGCCCTTCAATCTCTCATCTTTTGGCTCTCCCACTCATCCTACTGCACTGATTTCAACCGTAGGCTGACACCTTCTCATCCATGCGACGTGCTTGAGAAACATGATCCAAGGATTCTCTCCCCCTCTATTTTTCAATTTTTTCATCACCCTCTCCAAGGAGGCCAGCCTATGTGTGCATGTGGAAATGGCTGACATCAAAAGTGCTTTGCAGAATGCAGTATAAATAAACATTGGAATCACTTGACATCAGCGACCTGCAGCATCAATGCGGATTTGCTTCAGCGTGTATGACTTAATGACAGGTCCTTTGCAGGCCCGAAACTCCCAAAGACTCCAGAACCACTTGGGTGGCTCGCCCTCTCCCAATGCACTGTCAGTTGCAAGAAGCATATACTAGAAACAAAAAGCTACTATAGTACAGTAACAAGGGCATCGCTACTAGTAACAAAGGGCATTTCTACTAGGAGCAAGAAGCTACTAGTAGCTCAGGTCGTTGGAATTGGGAACGCCTCACATTATAAGGGTCCCCACGTCCGGAAGCAAAGGATCGTCTTGCCGCAATGGGTCGCCTGATAGGAAGTACAGGAGTTGGCAGGTGTCTTTTGGCTGCGCAGGTGGGACTGATCCCGGAAAACACCGGGAAAACATGGTAGGGGAACGGTGAAATCTTCTGCATGCTGGAACTGGCAAGGGTTGCGTGCTGAGACATGACCCAGGGCCCCAAGATGAGGTGGGACCAAAACCATGAGGTAAAAACAAACAAACAAACCGCAATCCCGCGCCGGTTTGAGTTGCTTGAACTGGTCGGACCCACAGAAGGGTCTCTCTGCAATTCTTGGAATGATATAACGCTAATTCAAGAGCACGTTGCTCATCACATCAACATCAAAGTCTATGCGCGCCATCGAATGGCAAACTTTTACGGTGGGATATGATGATCCTTGTTCCTACTAGCGTTCTTGTTACTACTAGTAAGGCACCTGTTACTAGTAGCGTGGCACTTGTTTCTAATAGCTTCTTGCTAAACACTTAACAAAACAACATGCACACACACACACACTGCCCAACCCACGCAAAGGATCGATCTAGAATCTACTTCAAGGCCGCCGTCTGGCCCCTAACCAAGCACCAAGCAACACAGGCAAAAGGAACAAATATGAAAGTGGGTTCAGAGTAGATGGCACTGGCACCCCTACATGTCTTTTAGATGGGGGTCTCTCCCCCTCTCTCTATACACAATATATATATATATCACCTATATGTCACCTTTTGGGGATTGTGCCATCTACTCTGAACCCACTGTATATTGCCTGACTCACGGGTCACATCGACGGTTGCCCTAAATGGAAAAATCCTCTTGCCGGGCGTAGCTTTTTTACGCCATCACCATCCAAGAAACTGCCAGCACAAAACGTTTCAGCGCAAAGGATCTGCACGCGATGGATCTGGAGCACTGATGCAACATGTTGAGTTACATTTATGTAGCTGCACTGGTTACAAGGTGTTTTTGTGTCCAGTACCTGCGCTCAAGTCTGCTTTCTGCATCACGGATGCGGCGCTGAAACGCCTGGGTGCGCAGCCTGGCGTGCGAGGATGCTCCGTAGCAAGCTGAGAGGTGGAACCACCGAGTTGGCCAAATGGGCACGGCACGCGATTTGGAAGAAACTGCTACAAATGACACGAGAAACACGACAAAGGACGACGCTCCAAAAACATCCTTAAAAAACATCCAATAAACTCCTAAAACATGAAACAAACACAAACTTCGTTCAGCCCTCGCTCGGAGATGCCTCAAAAGGCGCCAGGAAGCTCCTGGCAGGTCGGTCCATCTGTGACCCGACAAAAACAACGCGGACTTCAAGCCCTTCTCCCGGCATTTGTCGAAAAAAACAAGAAAAACATAAGGAGGTCGGATGACTTATCTTCAATTCTTGATGTGCATTGGTTCTTTTCGCTTTGTTCGACTCGAAGACGTTCAGGCAAACAAAAAAAAGTGGCTGCACAAAGGGACACCACTAGGGACACCTAGTATGCAGGCAGTCAGCGGGCCTGGAGACTTTTCAGGTTGATTGATATTGATTGATGCGCTCTTCATGCGGTCAGCCCATCTGATGGTTGGAGAAACGCGTGTTGATCAAGGTCGCCCCCCTGGAATGCCACCAAAATCCAGCTCGACTCGGTGATTCCACCCATCCTGCACGGTCTACTGCAGTGACTTCTCGTCCACCTGACGCGTCTGTCAGTCGGTGGGATGAGAAAAGCGGTTGTGAGATGTTGTGATTCTTTTTGTTTTACACCTTGCACGCTTCTGAAGAATCCTGTCAGGAAGCCCATGCCGCCGATTCCAGGCGTCACTGAAATGGAGGTGTGACATTGGATGACGTCTTCAAAAAACCCGCCCTGCCCCCTTGCTGGCAGTGGGGCACTCCAAAAGCACCTTGTTCCAAATCCCGACCGACCCACTGAGAAGATTTTGAAAAACCCACACAGCTTCCAGCAGTTGTTGCATGTTACACCCATCTCCATTGACCTTCACTTGGCTGCATGGGGCCGAGACTGCACCGGTGCAGGGTTTTTACACCTATGAGGTGCTGCCAGCAAAGCCTTGAAAAAGGACCCATATAGGACACACTAAGGAAAGGGGTGATCAATAGGGACGCTCCCCCACCTGAACCAGAGATCAAATGCCCAAAAGTATCCAAAAGTCTGAACCCCCTTGCTTGGGGCTTGGGGGACCACTCTCACTCTCTATATATTATATTCTCTATGCAAAATTCGCAGCAACCAGCAACCAGTTGCCCATCAGGTGATGTTCCGGACCAAGCTCCGCAACAACATTTGCCAGTCTTTTCCGCTGGGTCGTGCGCACACGGGGTCGCGGGTGACGAGGCCCCCCATCTGTCATGCGGGTCTGTCACGTGGTTGGCCGCTGATTGCAGGAGGAAACATCAGCTGCAACATGCTGCAACTATAGTTGTAGATTCTTGATTGATAAACCTCCATATGAAAAGGATTTCCCATTCAAACGAGGGGTCACTACTCAAGAGTCTACATTAGCACGTGGATCCATGTGGATGCTACAGCAATACAACAAGGGCCACCCGGGCAACCCCGATTGGACCAGTCGCAGTGACATTCTCCGTCTACAATCGGGTGCCATTCACTTCATCTCTTCAGATCTCCTTGGATTTGAATCGGACGAAGAATCGGTTGCGATCAGGCCGATCAGGCGATGTGTTGGGGATTTCGTGGATTTCACTTGAGGACTCGAGTACGAACTTTGCAAGAGAATGTCGTCCCATCAGCCGGACTCATCTATATACTGGGCTGGATGCAACAAACTCTTCAAGCAAACACTTCGTGGGATGGACATCTATAGACTAATTGTCACAAACAATCTCCGCACTTATCACAAAAAGCGAGGAGGAATAGCCGCTGCGAATGGGCAAATGCCAAAGGGCCTCTAGACTCTAAAGCATGCTCTTTCAACAAATGTCAAGGATCGGATTAAAAATGCCCAGGCTTCCTGATCCACCGGCTTTATCCCGCTTTGCTCGTCTAAGGCTCTTCAGGGAATGTCTCCACCTTCACGCGTACTTGGGATTCTCAGGCATGTCCTTGGATCTGCAGGTGGAAGGTCTGGGAATAGCGATGCGGTCACTGCATGACTGAGGGAACCCAGAAGACGTGAGTTTGTCTTTAACAAGAACTCAGTTGCTTTGAGATTTCTCTGGGCTGGCCCTTGTTCCCTCCATCTTCATCCTCAGCAAAATTCCACCCCGTGGAACCAGCAGCAATTCGGTTCCTCCAAGGCTCCATGTTGTCCCCAAGCTGAACAATCAGCACCACTGCGGTCAGGAAGGCCACCGCTCGGGCCACTGCGCGTTGCTTCGGTGTGAAATACTCCTTGGGAGGTGGCATCATGTACCTCCCAGCTGTGCATGTTTCGGTGAGAATCGTTTTGGTGTGATGACAAGCTTGACAAAGGATGGAGGTTGACCTCAATTTTTTTAGTGAACAGAAAGAGTCAAAGCATGTTCGGCTATCTTATCTTATTCATGTGTTAGACCCCCAAGAAATCGACTCCAAATGCCTTCCACAACTGTCTGGCCGACCACTTGCAGTGTAGAAGGGGGGATGAAAACTGGAAAGTTCAAGCCGTGACATCTCTGACCTTTGATCTTCAAAGGGTCTCCAGAAGAATTCCACTGGCGTCCCCTGCGCACGGGAGCTGCATGGCTGTCCAAAAAGTCGGTTGAAGCCGACCTTTGCAAGGCAGGGAGCAGCTCTTTTGAGGGCGGCTACAGGCCGCATGCTCAAAACTGCCACAAAAACATCAGAAACTGCAAAAATATTGCAGAACTGTCAACAAAAACAGCTACTGATTAAAAGCAAAACAATGCAGGACTCTGATTCAAACAGAATCCAAAGGTCATATATAACTTTGGTGATCACCCTACGCAGGAACAAATGCTAAGTATATAGTGTTGGGAAGGAGGGTCGGTTTGTAACGCAGCAATCCCCTGTCATGCCTCCATTCACAAGGACCGAGCTCGACGAGAGCACCCGGGGAGGGGCCACCCAGGTCATGACCTTCTGCCACCGCTGGAACAGTCATAATCCCCTTTTGCCACCAAGGGGCCAATGCTGGTTCCCGTCCGTTTTCCAAGTCTCTACTCTCGAGCCAAGGTTGGCGACCGTGTGGACACGTGCACGGGCTTTTTGGCATCTAAAACAGGGCCTTTAGGATTTTATGGTCACCAAAATTGGAGCATCAGGGCATCCATCTACGACCCGGCAAGGTCTGTCAACGGTCTGTCGGCGTAAAATGGAAGACGATGCTGTCAAGCGAGACCCACCAGATTGTTGTTAGTACTCAAGCACTCCATGCATGCCGCATGCCATATATGCCTACATGGGGGTGGTTTTGGGGGGTCAATGTAGGCATATGTGGCATACATGGAGTGTTTGGGGTATGGATCCGTGATTTTTCCACACTTCGGAGCATTTGCAGCGATGGATGATGCGTAACGGTGAACACTTCTCAGAACAGCACAGTCTTTTTTTTCGGGTAAGCCTAGGACGGATCGTTGCTGACACTGTTGGAATCATGCATTGTTTTCCGCACTTAAATTAAATGGCCAAGAACATATGGAAGATCCTTCAAAGCTCTTAATTAATTAGTAGCACCGGTGAAATTCTTGGCCTTAACCTGGGTCTAAATTCATCATCACTCGGACTAGCTTCGGCTCAAACTTGGCCCCAAACCTGTTGATATGGAGAGGCGGCCGAGAACATAACGCACTGTCTGCTACAGGTAAATACAAGATGTCATTAGATTTTGCTACTACAGCAGGGCTAGAAGGCTCACCCAAATCATCGCAATTTGTCCAATCTGGCACGTCTCTATGTAATCATATAAAAATCAATAAATATCAATCAATGTTCTACCTATATCATGCACCGGTTCGGATCGCCTCCAGCTCTGGGCGCTCGGCGTCCAAGGCGGCAAAGGCATCCTGCAAACACAGCGGAGATCTGACGTTGGCAGGTGATATGAATGCCTTAG